TCAGAAAACGATAGAGAAGTTACAAGTGCAACTCAAAATCAAAACTAACTGGTCACACATTTAGAAATTGAGGCATTACACAAAATGGACAATTAATAAGATATATTTCCTTACAGGCATGGACAAATTTGTTTGTACCCATACAGCTCGTTTAAACATTGCTTCTTTCCTACTGAAAAGTGATAAAATTAAAAGTAATTGGCTCTATCCTACATGCCTTTGGTATGTCAAAGTAAAATGAAGAAAGTATGAAAAAAAGATAAATTTATTGTAAATGATTAACTACTATACAAAAATATACTAAAATGGCCTGGACAGATTTGTTGGTACCCATACAACCGATTATGAATAAATGGTTCAGAATGATACTTCAAACTAACCATTTTCATTTTGTAGGTCACGTCTTCAGTTTTCAATCTCGTAATCAGTCAGCCTATTTCAATGTAGAAATGTAGTTACTCTGCTGTTTAATATGATCATGTGCACCACAGTGAACTGAACACTAACTACAGTTACAAATATTAAGAAGTTTAAGGTCCATGTCAATATATCTAACTGCCCTGGCCTTTGCTGCAAGAGAATTGATCCCTGGTTGAACAGAACAACAATGAACAGCGGTCTACAAAGGGTAGACAAAGAACCAAGGAAAACATTGAAAGATAAAACCTGAACTACAAGGACAACATACATCAGTGTCTGACTGCACCATCCATCACTTTTGGAGTGACATTGGTTTCAAAAAGACGACCCAGAAGGACTCCAGTGTTGAAAGAAAAACTTTAAAAAAACCAGACTGGAATTAGTTAAAATGCATATTGACAAGCCGTGATATTTCTGTGAGAGTGTCAGTTGGGCAAATGAAACAAAACTGACACTTTCTGACAAGTCACATCAGCTCTATGTTCACAGATAAATAAAATGAAGCTTTCAAAGAAAAGCACACTGTATCTACTGTAAAATATGGAGGTTTGTTTATTAATGCTGCTTTGCTACTTCTGGAACAGGATGCCATGAATCTGTTCAGAGCACAATGAAATCTCAAGACTGTCAAGGAATTCTGGAGTAAAACATACTGCCCATTGTCAGACAGCTCTTTGTGAGTTGTAGGTTATAAAATAAAGACCCAAAACATACAGCTAAAAGCACCCAAGAATGGCTAAGAAAAACAAAATGTGACTATTCTGAAGAGGCCTTTTATGAGCCCTTAGCTGAATCCTATTATCTATGTAAAGTGCTACAACATGGAGTCCAGGGAAGGGGCCCTTCAAAACTTCAAAAATGAGATAGCTAAAACAGTTTGCTCAAGATGACTGGGCTAAACCACTTTTTGGCAGGTTCAGATGTCTCAGAAGAGCTACAGAAAGTGCTTGGTTGCAGTGATTGCCTCTAAAGGCTGTGCAAAACAAATATTAGGTTAAGGGTTTCATTTTTGTCCATGCCAATTTTACTTTTCTTTTATCACTTAAATTCTTATTCTACTAAATCAAAAGCAAGGTCTGATTATTTTTTTTTAAATACGGAACAATAATAGACGCCAATTACATTTGTCAGTTTCAAGTTACTTCAGAAAAAAATACAAGTTCTTTTTTTTTTCTCCCCCAAGAGTAACAACAAATTTGACCAGAGTTGTATGTCATTCAAGAAGGCTTTTATTCACCAATATTTGGGTGGGTCATAGTCCGCCTTTATCAAGGTCATGATAAAGGTGGGCTTTGAGCTACTGCAACATCAGTGAACAAAAGTGTCCTAGGCTCCTTTAAATCATTGTGAGTGGCCTACTACAAGTATATAATATATAGCTGTATATACAGTGTGTGCGTGTGTGTATATATATATAATACTGCCAATATCAGAAAAAATGTAGCCTTGGTGTCTCATGGTGCATGTATATTTACTTTCACCTGTATGAACCTGCACCTCTTTCTCTCTGATCATATAAGATATGCAAATGCACACAATGTATATTCTTTACTTACCTTCCAAGTGACTCCGTTTACTGCATCACAAAGGACACAGTGCAAAGGGACCTCCTTGTACCCATGTGACTGCAGTCAGCCACTCCAGCAGCAAGGACTGCATTGTAAAACGCAGTGGAAGATAAAGCAGTACATATTTTTCCAAAGTGATACCTTTTAGTGGGGAAATATAAATTTTTAACACAAAAAAGCTTTTAGGCTCTAAAGCTCCTTCTTCAGGTATTATGACAAATCAAAATCTGAAAATGGAAAAATACAAGGCAGGGCAGCTCTGGCAGTCAAATTGAGCAAGCGCAGAGCACATGTAATGTAAGAAGAGCCTACCTACAGTGTCTGCTATGCAACGAAAATGTTATGTGCCCGAATGAAACAAGGTACAGGAACACTATAATGAGAGAAAAAGCAATGTGCAGACTAAAAAGACTATACCAATCCATACAGACAATATCTGGCTAAGTATTACCAAACCTTTGCATATCAATTTTGCTCTGTATAATGCTTTACTAAAAAAGGTTTCCAGTCTCTCAAATAGATCAAAAAATAAATATCTAGATAGATATCTAGAATGTTTAGTTCTCCAGGAAATATTTTACATGTGTGTCTTCATTACCCAAAAATAAATTCCACATTGATGTAGAATCAATTTTCCTGCATGAAAATATATAACTATTGAGAGACTCTTTCTCATAAATCAGTATCTTAACAACTTATTTTAAGTCCACCATGAGTGACGGCTCATTTTTCTGATCTGCTCAGTAGTCACCTAACAGAAAGTCAATGTTACCATCAGCCAAAAGGCATTCTGTGTGCATAGCATATGTGATACATTAAGTAGGTTTGTGCTAATAAAAGTTTTAGTGAATTTTTAAAAATGTGATTTAAAATTAGCCAATACAGTGTGGTAACTAAAAATATTGCACATTGCGTAATTTTGTGATTACTAACTTTACAATTGTGTTGTGGGTTTGCACATGTGCATTGCTCAATCACTTTCGTGCAGCAATGGTTTCTGTACTTTTTTTTTTCTTCTTCTAAAGAACACCTTGATAACTCATTTATAGATTACATATTCCACAACTGAATATGTCTTCGTCCGTCATAAAAGCAGCAGTTTTCTAGGCATTTATAAATACAATCAACTTGGGTGATTAATTTCATAATTCTGGAAACAATGTGCAAAGTGTAAATTGGAATTAAAGCATGCACAGATTTGATTACAAATATATAATCCTTTATATAGCCATATCTGACGCACTGCTTACCTGGCATGAGAAACTATTTAGATTGTATTACTGAAGTGTATGTAAAATGTTGTCAGGTTCATAATGTATTAGTAGCACAGGAAAACAACACAACATAATATGAGCTTGTTGTCCTCCTTTTAATGTGAAGATCCACAAGCCTTTTGTATGGTATGCTAACAAGAACATTTCTTCTTACCTATAGGAACTGGTCAGATTCCAACTGTCGATTCTTGCAGTACAGGATTACAGAATAAACAAGGATTCTGACTGGTTGCCACCGATGTATTGTAGGAACATTCCCCCCCCCCCCCCCCCAGTTCATTAGATCACAGAATACGCTTATTCATCATAAAGCGCATTTAGAAGATGTACTCCTATTGTGATGTGTTATTTCAAAGCAATAACATCAGAACAAGAGAAAAACAGGTTTGTGAATTGAGCTCATACTGTTAAAAGAGTAGTAATGCATGGCTATCTATAACCAAAATTAGTCTTAGGCTAGTCATACACGTGAGGATTCACAAATCATTAGACCTTATTCACCTGCTATTAACGATTCTGTGCATGTCATCAGGCAGTATAGTGCAGAATTTGATGTAGCAGCCCAAATGTACACATTTTGTAGTGGAAGGGGGAGGGGTAATAGACCATAGTAAGTGTGGGCCTTTATAGTTTCCCTTGAAAAAAAAAAAAGCTAACCTGCAGCATGGAGATGTAAATTTTTGAACGTTGATATCTGGTCACTTTTAAAGCTTATTGCTCTTTGCGGTGTTGTGAAATAAAACCCAACCTATGGCTTAAACTGCTTTTTAATATGCATGAGCAGTAGTCACTTTGAAATGGACCATTCATTTTCATTGCTGATGACCAATTTCAAGCTATATGCAAGCTAACTAGAGCACAAGTATTCATAACCATCATAACCACAAACTGCAGAAATCTTCAGAGGTCCCCATGAGTAAAAGGGTGTCGCTTCAGTTAAAGGCCTAATTAAAAAGCAGTTGGGGTCAACACAATGAAATTGACGTTAAATACAGCACAGTAGTGGATTACATTTTTCAGCATTTTTTTTTAGCAAAATAATAAAATGGGCACTTGAAAAAGGAATTTTCAACAAGATTGCTTTTGCAGCTCAGCATCTTCTGGCAACCTTGTGGCTGCTCTCAACTGGCCCCAAGACATCTGGTCAGTAAAGGCATGAGGGAATGCTGATACCATCAATCAGCACAAGTGCCCCCATACAATGATTTCTGTGTTATGAGAGAGAAATACCAGTGCTGCCACTAATGGCCTTCTAAGAATACTAATTTGGCTGGTTGTCTCTGGCTTTAGTTCTTTCTGAATCACCAATACTAAGCATGCATACTAGAAAGTCAGGAGAGTTAAGCAATGGCAGCTTTCTTTTTTCTCTTCCTAAAGGTTTAATAAAATTGGGAATACAGCATTAAAAGGTGATGCGCTGGTACGTTTATGTTTATAATCTCTTTTTATAAAATTAGCAACTTTTTCATACAGATATGTGATGCTAAAAGCAGTGCCCTCCAACTGATATTGGTGCCAATGTGTGTCTTCACTTTATGCAAATACAGCACAAACATCTTGGTACCAACCACAAAGATATGCATCAATCACATATGTAGGTTTGTGCACACAAATGCCACAATGCAAAGCTACAGCATTATACTGCTTATTTATAAATTTGTCAGTTCAAATAGCCTTTTGCAGATATTCACAGATATCCTTTTACGTCTTCCATTAAGTCTAATCTATAAAGTGCTTGTTAAACTTTTTCCAAAAGCCAACTAAATAACGGATTGGGGAGATTTGAGGACATCTCTGAGCTTTCACAGTACTGAAGAACAGCTTGCAAGAGGTCACCAGTTTTCCAGCCTTTTTCTCGGATTCGTCTGAAAAGCTAAAGAAAAAAAAAAATGAGTGTGAGGACATAATAAACCCAAATTCAAGCTAGGCTAACATTTTTCATGCAGAGATGATCTACAATGTTTTCTCTTTTTTTATTGTCAAGATAAATATTTTGAGATAGAAACCTTTACAATCTAGTGGTTTGTGGGTTTTTAAGCAGGGTAAAAACAGGAAATTTTGAACAAAAAGGTAATAAGTTGGCTACCGCACCCTGATACCACACATAGAAACATAAGCCTAATTATTGATGTGGATTTTCCTATTGTGGCAAAGTGTGGTTTTTTTGGGTTCTGCTCCACCTTCAACCAAAACAGATTTTCTATTTAGGAATTAGCCTTTCGCACTACAGTCTATTTTACAAAGTAAATGACTCAAATAAATATGATTTATTTATTTTCACAGACCTATTTGAATTCACTGCTTCCAAACTGGCACAAGCCAGCAACACGTAATAGCAGGCAGTTAAGGTCAGTGGTTAGGTAAGACAATCTTCATAACAACCTTTTGCAAAGGGTTGCAAACACAACTATCTGTAAAGTATATAAGTGGGATGAATTTACACCAGAAAAGGATTATTTATATTGATCATTCATAAACTATCATTTCTAAAGCAAAACCATGTGAGCAAGATCACTATGTTGCAAAGTAGACTTAAAAATCGCTTACAATCACGCTCTCATTACTGGGTTATGAGCACAAGAAATTGATACAATATAAATGCAGGCTGCCACCTTCTCTCCTTCTGAAAATGCTAGCTGTCTGTCATACTGACACTCGTTTCAATACTTTTGAGTCACTAACTCAGAACAAGTATGCATGAAAAGAAAGACTTAACTTGTCTCCAACTTTCCTTATCTAAAATGTGCCTTGGGTCAGTGTCTCAATCTCAATGTAGTATACCAAAAAATATAAATGCTGCACCTCCCTGTGATCATGTGATCCGGGCACCAAAACTCATCAAATAAACAATAACCTAATTTTAAACAATTCAACAAATGTTTTCTTTAAAAACAGAGACCACATAACATATAATGTCCGCAGTCCGTATATTGTGCTTAATATAAATCTTTGTTTATGAAATGTGGTACTTTATTCTCTTCTGTGATAAATGTGCACCACCTAAGTAGTTGTGAACAACCACACCGTGTATTCACCACCATTCAAATATTGTGCTCATCTCCAATTTTTGACCTGTCCTCTTACAGGTCAAAATCGCTTGTTTCCCTTTAAGGGGGGTCCTTTCATCATCTCCTCTCCTCTTTCTGGATTCCACTCATATGTAGTTCTCCATTCAAAGGTCACTCACTGGTAAACTTATTTCAGGTGAGTGGCCCTTTAAAAGATGCCTTTCCCCATCCTATCTGGAGCTGAGCCCGGTGATATTCCTGATCAGACTCCCTAACTTAGATCTGGCTTCAGGAAGGGGCTCCTGTAGTAGGCAGCTAGACAGAGCGCTCAGTGTCCTCTTCTTGATCGTGGAGAGGACAAGATTGTGGAGAGGACACTGAGTGCTCTGCCTCGCCTCCTACGACAGAAGCCCCCGCCTGGAACCAGTTGTAAGCTAGGGAGTCTGATCAGGAATATGACCGGGCTCAGCTCCAGACAGGACGGGAATCACATCTTTTAAAGAGCCAGTAACCCAAAATACGTTTACCGGAGAGTGACCTTTGAATGGAGAACTACTTTTGAGTGGAATCTAGAAGAAGGAGACGAGATGATGAAAGGACCCCCATTAAAAGGGAAACAAGTGATTTTGACCTGTAAGAGGACAGGTTAAAAAGTGGAGGTGAGTGCAATATTTGAACGGTGGTGGATACAAGGTTCACAGCTACTTAGGAGGTGGTGCACATTTATCATGGAAGAGAATAAAATGGCACATTTCGTGAAGGAATATATATGTTAGGCACAATGTACATACTGCAGACATTATATATTATGTGGTCTCTGTTTTAAAGAAAACATGTGTTGAATTGTTTAACATGAGGTTATTGTTTATTTGATGATGAGTTTTGGTGCACGGATCACATGATAACAGGGAGGCGTAGCATTTATATTTTTTGGTATATTACAGTTACTGTGGGAACACTTTTATGTTTGCAGCCACTCACAAGATAAGACCTAATATTATTTACAACTTATTATACAGTGGTGTATTTAATCACATTGCTCTGAAGAAGCCATAGGAGGTTGTAGAATATGGCTAGGTAAGAATGATGCTTGTCCAGTTAGCCAACACCACCTTTGAAAACAACTCCTCCTGCCAACTGCAAGAGAACATAAAACTTGTCTAAAAGTGACTATTACAAACTACTTGAGTTATTTTGGCAATATGTTCTCCATACTTTACAGCTACTTTTTTTTATGTGAAATTAAAAAAAAAAAAAAAAACTGAAGCAAAATAAAAGTTGTTTCCCCATGGTGGCAAATCAGAATTGTCCTACTTAACAACAGATGAAGCCTGATTGATCACTATGGACAACTCCACTTTCATTTCAATTTTTTTTTCTCCAGTTTTGTTATATAAATTACCACTACATATGAGAGTTACCACTAAGGGCATTATTTTTTCTAAATACATGTGCATTTTACACGCAGTGGAGGAAATGTGTATCTACTGTGTAGACCATAAAGGTTAACTTACAAGTAAAAGGTCTTTTACGGCATTCTCAGGAAAGCAGAGCTCCATTATATCACACTCCGAGGCAGCAATCCATTGTAATATTGTTCTCAACTGTGATTCTACTGTATTTGGTCCCATATCAAGATTTCTAATCAGCAGAATCTTGCGCTGCTTTTCAACAACTGTAAAAAAAAAAAAACATGGTTTATAGGCATCAAAAGAAAGAAATAGACACTGTATTTACTTATATGATTAAACAATTGCAATAAGACTTGCTTGTGGGTAAATACATGTCTGCAAAGATGCATTTCTTGCTTTGTAATGTGACTGCTCTCTAAAAGTGGCAGTTTTATTGTATTCACGTTCTACTTTCAAGCTGAACACAGACTAATATAATTAGAGCACAGATGAGCACACAGAGCGTCTTGTGCACAGAGATGTGCATGTGCATACATGGAGATGAACTGCCCAAATATGTGTACCTGCGAAAGCTTCCCATCATTGCTCTGAAACACCCATGTGCAAGGGGAGAAAGCTTGTAGAACACCAAAGCTGAATTGTAGCCATCTGGAAAACACAACTGGGCTAGCATTTTGTTTTCTGAAAATGTCATTTTCAGTTGCTTTCCTTTAACTAGCAGTTTTGGTTTCATAATTGGCTATTATCAAACTGTCCAGCTGCAGAGTGGTTATCTAGGCACTGATCTAGAGTAGGGATCCAGTAAAAACATGCTCCTCCCACTACTATTGCTCTGTAAATGTAATCAGAGATGTGGGGTGTGCTAATGATTGAACTGGTCTGAAGCCAGCTATACATTTAGGTTTCTCTTGCCCAGCCTATGGGCTAAATGAGAGAAATCTAACAAGATTTCAACATCCACACTAAACAGCATCAATGAAGGAATATTCCCTGGTGGCTATTGCGTTTACGGTTTCCCATCTGCCGCACATCCCCTTACATCCTTAGACCTACAGCTGAAGCCACAATCCTGGTATCAATATTTGCAGCTGCTGATAAGCTTTCCTGTAAAAGTGATCAAGTGGCTTTACAGCCCCCACCCCCAGCAGTACAGCTGCTGTCGGTGTAGATGGCTGAACATCCATACCCGCTCTTCCTCTGTGATGAATGAAACTGGAAGTGACAAGGATTTTGTCACTTCCGTTTGTGGTTTGTTGTTTACCATCTGTTACTGGCTTGTAAAGCATCTGATCAAATTGATCTCGGTTTGATCAGATGTTTTTAAGGGCAGAGGAAAGTTCTGGGGTTTAAAAGGCCCCAAATCTCTCAGTAAAGAGTACCTGTCACTGCTCAACTATCACAAGGAATGTTGTTCAATTTAATAAAAAAATAAGCAAACTTGTGTAAGTGTGTGATAACACACACACAGTTTTAGGTCCATATATATATTTGGACACAAGCACAATTTTCATACTTTGGGCTTTGTATGCCACCAGAATAAATTAAAACAAAACAATCCAAATGAATTTGAAGTGCAGACTTTCAGCTTTAATTCAAGGGGTTGAACATAAATATCAAGTACAAATTTTAGGAACTGCAACCATTTTTATAAATAGTCCCTCCATTTTCAGGGGCTCAAATGTAATTGGACAAATGAATATAATGATAAATAAAATGTTCATTTTTAATATTTTGTTGAGAATCCTTTACTGACAATGACTGCCTGAAGTCTGGAACCCATGGACATTACCAAAGACTGTGTTTCCTCCTTTCTGATGCTTTGCCAGGCTCTAACTGCAGCTGTCTTCAGTTGTTCTTTGTGGGTCTCTCTTTAGTTTTGCCTTCAGCCAGTGAAATGCATGCTCAATTGGGTTGAGATCAGGTGATTGACTCGGCCATTGCAGAATATGCCACTTCTTTTCCTTCAGAAGCTTCTGGATTGCTTTTGCAGTGTGTTTTAGATAATTGTCCATCCGTACTACGAAGCGCCATCCAATCAACTTTGCTGCATTTGGCTGAATCTGGGCTGACAGTATATCTCTAAACACTGCAGAATTCATCCGGCTGCTTCTGTCTTCTGTCACATCATCAATAAACACCAATAAACACCAATGACCCAGTGCCACTGGAAGCCATGCATGCCCATGCCATCACACTGCCTCCACCATGTTTTACAGATGACGTTGTGTGCTTTGGATCATGAGCTGTTCCAAGCCTTCTCCACACTTTTTTCTACCCATCATTCTGGTACAGATTAATCTTAGTTTCATCCATCCAAAGAATGCTTTTCCAGAACTGGTCTGGCTTTTTTAGATGTTTTTTGGCAAAGTCTAATCTGGCTTTTCTATCCTTCAGGATTATGAATGGTTTGTACCTTGTGGTAAACCCTCTGTATTTGCTCTCATGAAGTCGTCTCTTGATTGTAGACTTTGACAATATGTCCACCTCCTGGAGAATGTCCTTCACTTGTCTGGATGTTGTGAAACCGCCCCTGAGATGACTACATCACACATCCCAGGAGGCCATTTGCGAGATGTGCATTTAAAGAAGAAACATATACATACATGCTCAAATCTAACAGGTGCTAAAGGGGTGTGACCACATGTTAACACTATTTTTAGGTGAGTGTCATTTCCCTGTTTGTCTTCCCTCTGGGACTGGATGTATATGGCACTACATTTCCTCACCAAGTTTGTGCTACCTTTACCTTTGAATGTCACATAATCTGAATTTTGACATAAAGCAGCAAGCAACAACATGCTACAGCCTGGTCAACAGAAATAATGGTAAATAAAATAATGACACAGTACCTTCTGTTGTTACTTTGGGTTCTTCATCTTTTTCTTCTGCCCCATCACTACATTTCAAGAAACAAAAATGAGTAGAAATCATGACTGACTTACTTAAAAGTGTTTTTTTTTTTTTTCAAAAAAAAAAAAAAAAAAAAAGGTTTTGATACAAAAATATAGATTATTTATAAAGGAACACATATGAGCATGCAAATAAAACAAGCTAACAGAATAAACTCTCATCCTTTGGCTTAACGTATGCAAGGGAAGGTTAGTCTCTGCCACTACTGTAGTACCTCTACTACATTATTCCACAGGAAACAGAAACACTGGACACAAATAGTGGTTCCCAAAGATATTTTCCTGGGAATTTCTTACACTTTTTTTGTTATTGTGGATAATGTAGCATTTTACAGCCAGAAACTGCCTATTGTAACTTCTCCATTGTAAATATGATTCTACTGTATAACAAATTGGGGTAAGGCAAACCTTTTACAACAAACTAAAGCTATGCATACAGTTTTGGTACTGCTTTCATTATGACTTGATTATTGTATTTTGGATTGTCTATGCAAGAATTTTAATTGAAAAAGAAAAAAAAAAAAAAAAAAAAAAAACACAAGAAAGTTAATGTCCTACTTCTATAATCCATCACACTTACAGTAGGGACATGAAATTCACTATTGCCTTAACATCAAATATTAAAATTCTGCTTGGTTGGTAAGATGAAGGTCTGCTTCGCATTTTCCATCTTGAAAAAAAAATGTACTCTGAGCTACAGAGCGGTCTCTAATGCACACTAATAGAACATTCCCTAAAACTAATTTTTAACCTTTGGCTGAAAATGGCAGCTGTAGCAATGGACTATAGCATACACTTGCATACAAATTACACAGCTACAGTCCATGGGACAGAATGAAAAAATTCATGCTGTGAAATAAAGGCTGTAGAAAGTAGAGAATGTAGCAGTCTCAGTTTTAGTTAAAACATGCAGAATTATGAAGAACCCAGTGAACCTTTTAACACAAGAGAAAATGACTACACAATTGTCATGCAAAAACCTCTAGCTAAACCAACCTGTCTGATGGTGGGAAGGATAAATTTTCTTCACACATGTCTCCCTCCAATCCCAGACTGCTCCAGCTACTGCTGTTACCATTACTACCAGAAAAAGACAATATTCAAATACCTCAAAAGTTAGGCAACAGAACTAATATTACACCAATATGCAGGGTTAACAAAATAAAGGAAACACCGAATAATATATTGACTCACACCTAATTAGGAGTATGGCTTCCCTTTTTCCATTAGTTTTAGCCCTGCTTGAAATACTTCAGAACGTCTAATGAAGTTTCAAATGGAAAAAATGCAACCTTTAATAACAAAGGCGGTGTTTGACCTGCTTTGGCTATAGTTTAAGAGCACCTTAATAAAACATGTTGCGTCCAAAGAAAAGCAGCGCAACATAAAGCAGGTCCAAAAGGAGCTTATGAACTGCCATATGTACCGCTGAATGTCAACAGGATTTTGCTGACTTGCATTTGATGCGAGTTCCAAATGCATGTCAAATGCAGGAAAGCATCCATCAACATGAGCCCTTTAGCTATTGTAAATGGGCCAGCCATGGTATGCCTTTATCCTCCTGTTAAGGTGTATTTCGATTTGAAACTTTTTTTGTTTTCCATTTTTGAAAGGAGTAGGGAATGATGAAATCTCTGCCCCTTTTGGTCTTTGGTCCATTGGGCATATTTCCATTTACTTCCTCTGCCGGAAACAAAAGTCAGTGAGAGAAAATCTCTACAAAGTGAGATTAGAACCCTTTAAAAGAGTTGCCACCTGAACAGGTGTCCCTATAGGAAGATTTTCCTTAGCTTTCACCTATTATTCATGCAACAGACAGATTTTGGATTTTTTATCACCTTTTGTCCCAGTAACAATAGTCAGTAGCAGAAAGAGGATGAATCCAGCAGTCACCAAGACAGAAATAAGAATCTGATGGGGCTTCCAAATGTTCTACTGTGCCTATAGAACCACTGTGTTTTATTATTATTATTTATACAGGATTTATATAGCGGGAACAGTTTGCTCAGCACTTTACAATATAACGGGAGACAATAAAGCAACAATACAGTTCAATACAAGAGGGATAGGAGGGCCCTGCTCCTTGGAGCTTGTTTTCAACTTTGTCCATACAATTTTGGTACAGACTGAGTCACAGAGGTGTTGAATTTTGGAGGCATGTAGCACCTATCCTGTTTAGTGCTCATCTATCTCCACCACCGTATATTATTGATGCATTCTGTCTCTGTAAGGCATGGACCACCATCTTTTGGTCCACTGGCAAATATCAATTTGCAGTTTTTTGGGGCAATACACTTGTAAATTGGGCACCGAGTGTAAAATGAACCTGTCAAAATGTAATAAAAACACATCGCTTTTAAAAAGGTCTGAAGAGAGGCCACCAGCTCCATTAGTGTAAATTAAATATTTAGCAAAGGTAAGCTAAAAGTGACCTGGATGTTATTGCTCATAACTTCAGCAACTTTATTTGTTCCTGCATCCCCAAATACTTCTGGGTAGTGTAGGAGCTTGCCTGACAACTGTCACCCAGCAACCCACTACACATACATTCCTATTGGCCCATCACAATAATAGGCTTCCTATGCTGGCCAATAAGAATACATAGGAGCAGAGACAGGACAGACAAGACCCATCAAAACAAGGAAGGGCAAAGCCTTTACTAGTTGAGAACAGCAAGCATTCAGGCACGCAGGAAGCAAATAATGATGCTGCTAGTATGTGCAAGAACTTTCAGGCCCATCTAGTTTCACTTTATACCATATAGCAGCTTTATTTATTTTATAACTTCTAGCAACTTTAAACATCTGTATATATAAATTCAAAACGAACAAAGAACCAGCATTTTGGTACCCCTAAGGGCTCCTCCTTAACCTCCCAAGCGGTCTGATTATGTCCATATTTCTGTCCTCAAAGCGGTACTTTTTTTTTGCATGGAAATATGTATTTTTTTTATTGTAGGCCTGTAATTTTTAGGAATAACTCACTGAAAATCTGTCCGAACAAGAGTCTAGTAAACATCCCGGGTATGTTAAAATTTGAAACATGAAATCATAAATTATAATTTAATAAATAATCATAAAAAATAATATAATAATAATAAATTTAATTAAATAATATAATCAAACCAAAAACACTGAAATTTGAAATATAGCGCCAAGTTCGCACATCACTGAGCAAAGTCGCAAAATCGTTTTTCAGTGTCTGATGACGAATTTCCCCATGAATCATTATCACTCAATTGTGCAAGTAGTTCTAATTTACTATCGCTGTTCTCTAGCTGGTCTAAAACCGCTTTTGACCTAAAGGGACGCTTTTTGGACACCATGGACATTTCTCAGTTTCCATGCAGAAAGACCAGTAAAAATGCAGGCAGGGCACAGGACAAAGCACTAGGGACAAAATGTATGTGAAATGCTTTGATACAGTAACGTTTTACTATGTGATTTTAGTGAATGTCACTTTTACAACTTTCAAATTTCCTGCTAGTTCCGTCCCCCATACGCCCCGACGTTGCAGGGAATGGAACCCAGAACACAGATGCTGGCATCCGCGAGAGGACATTGCAGGGGGGACATCACGGGAGTGAAGGACAAGGTAAGTGTAGAACAGATCCCGGAGCAGCGCTGCAGGGTATTCCCGAGTGTAGCTCGGGGTTACAGCTTGTGGTGCCGAAACTTGATCCCGAGCTACACTCGGGAATACCTCCAGGGAGGTTAAGGGTAGAAAAGCCACTTTTATAGAAGACACACATACTGCAATTAATTTCCAATATTTTGCACACACTGTATAAATCAATGCATAGTAAAACTATGATATAGTAGATTTCATGATGTATATTTCACTGGCATCACTGTTTTATTGCCTGAATCAGATTCAGAAATAAATAACTGTTTTTTTTACAGTTTACCAAGACAAGCTGTAATACAAATCTGCCAGGCATAACACAGAGGAAAGTGCAGTGAGGGCGTGTAAAAGGTTAAGTAACCACAGCAATCAATCTGAACTCATCTCAACCAATTTGTTTCCAGTAAGGCGAAATATAATTTGAAAATGTAAACATCCACCTCTCTCTTTGTACTGCCCTACTTAGACTGCAAATCCTGAAACAAAACTCAAAAACTATCCACCACGTTCAGTTACATTTCTTGCAAGACCTTTAATAGATTTCCAACTCAAATGGACACCAATCGTTTCCTAAGTGGTTGTCACATGGTCAGTCCAAGCATTATCGCACTTGGAAAACAAGTAAACCAATCACACAGGAAAAGACATTTATGGAGGAGTTCAGTACACAAGTCAGGCATAAACAAAACCTATATAATGAAACTGTAAGTGAACACCTTTGCCAGTTTTAGAATACGATAGCTGGATGATGACTGGACTAGGAAGCTAATTTTAATTAAACCCTAACTGCACTTTCAGTGTAAAGCAACTAAATGCAATCCAAGTGTATCAAACCAAAGGTTTGCAAAGTCGTACAATTATTTTTAGATAGCAGCCACAGCCTGAGTAGACAAGCCTATGTGCTGAAGAGAAGGACACTTGCTCTTGAGAAATCAGCAGTCTCTCTGAATGGAGAGCTCCAGTTCTGATTCAGCAGGGGACGTATTAGTCTTCAGTAGCAAGATCACTGCTTTCATACAGAGAGCAAGGGTCTTTTTCTGTAATATGCTGGCAATGGACAGGCTTTTCTACTCTAATGTGGATGCTTAAAAAAAAAAAAAACAAAACAAAAAAAAATGATAACGAGCTTTAAGACTTTGCATACATTCTGTTTTAACGCCCTTGGAATGTATTTTCTAATTTAAACTGAAAGTCCAATTGGGATTTAACACTGAATTACAAAAAGCATTCTGTAGTAGCTATACATATTTAACCTTTAAAAGGTAAATGTTATGTACAGGTACAGGTCTAGCCAGGTTGTAAAATAAATGCCTCATAATGAATATGTTAATGCAAAAATGTAGTCCCAAAAATAAAAGTAATAACAAGCCTCTCACTCTGCAATGCAGTACCAGGCAATGTGCACCTCTAACTGTGGCTGGTAATGAAATAACCAGCACGACATACTGCGAACTGCAGCTCCATCACAGCTGGAGTGTAATGCATGACCCAGCAATATTGTAGAAGAAGAATTTAAATATGCTGGCTTGAGTAATATACTATAATAATTTTATTTTCACAATAAAAAAAAAACAATTTAAATCTAGGCTACAGAAATAAGTCTGTCTACCGGACAAAGCATCAAATTGGTATGTCAAAGGAATTATATGGGCTGCTATTTCTTCTTAAAATGTTAATTTTCTGGCTACTGCAATGATGATTGGCTTTAGTACTTGAGTCACTGACTTAGAACAAATGTAGAGATGAGGAATTCTGAGTTTCCTCTGGCTTTGATTTTGGTACAGTCTCAACAATATCCATGTACCAGCATGAGAAAAGAATTCCCAATCAATAAAACCAGGTAGAATGCTATAAGCACCTGGTGTGTCCTTACTTATGTTCAATTAGAAAAATATGAAGGATATGTAATGCTGTCCTCCAAACTAATAATCCTACAAAAAATTGATGCATATGGTGTCAACAGTTTATTTAAAAAAAATCAGGTAAGCAGAGAAGAGTAGAATAAAGATGGAAGAGGAAGAATAAAAGAAAGGGAAGGAAGGGAGGAAGCTGGGAAAAGAGAAAGGAAGGTTAGGGGACATGGGGGAGGGGGGGAAAAGAGAAAGGAAGGTTAGGGGACATGGGGGAGGGGGGGATAGGAGGGAAGGCATGATGCAGGAGAACCCCAGTTACTACTACCCATGTGCAGCATATGACATTGATGCATTTAAACCGTAATATTTGGGTGATGATAGGTGATCCAAGGGTCCCAGATTTGGAGATTTTTTTTATGGCTTTTAGTGAGAATACTAGTCAATTGTTTGTTAGTAAAAAAAAAAAAAAAAAAAACAAAAGCCATCGATTCGGGATTCAACTATGTAAACTGATTTTTCCATGCCCTGGCTATTGTCAATGTGGAATACAGAGGAGCTTTTTTTTAGTAAAATCTGGTGGTTTAAAATGTAAGAGAGCTAGCCAAGGATTTCTAGGAAGCTGAACCTCGAACAGAGTTTGTAAAAGTGAACATACGTAGGTGTAGAAATGATCACCCACTGGACAGGAGTGCCAGATATGAAGATCAACGCCTGTAGTCTGGCATCCTTTCAACAAAGGCCCAAAAATCCAGAAATATTTGAGCAAGGAGAACAGCAGATTGCCAACTCAAGAATGTGACATCAATAGTGGCAGCGACAACAGTAGTCCTCACGTCTTGTGGTCAAAAGTAGTAGAGAGATCATTATCTCATATGAGCAATGCAATCCAGGGTCTAAGTAGGGTGTATTGGAAAAGCTCCAAGGGGAGACCCTAAACCTTTCTTGGGTAACGGACCATGGCTAAACAGAGCCCTTCTCTAAAAAAAAGAAAATGCTGTATTTTAACAATGTGTAGTCCACCTAAAAATGGCGACGAGGACTGGAGACCTTGCTGGAAAAGTGGGTTGCCTGTCAAGGGAAGCAAGCAACTAGCATTTTCTAAAAGAAACCAGCAATGACAACTCATATATTTATTTTATTGCAGATGTACTTTCAGACAAACAGGGTAAAGTGTCTTTGAAACACAGCTACATACTGTATTATAGTTTCTGGTAATGAACTGCAGTGTGCATGCAAATATAAACTTTTACAGGCAGTAAACTCCCAGTGTAGTTACACCTTCAGATACCAGACTATAGAATTAAGGTACCCACGGACAAAAAAGGAAAAATTACAGACACTACATACATCTACCTGTTCATAATCTCAGCAATGGTTTATTTTAAATAATTTAAATCAGTTAGGCATCTAAATACATATAGTAGATTCTATTTACCTGTCACTAAGGTGAAGGAAACTGCTTTCATCTTGGTGTTCATCCTCAAAGCTCAGATTGGACCAGCTGCCCGTGCTGTCATCCCCAATGCTAACACTGGTTTGTTGGCTCGTCACTGAATCCACTGACTGGAACCCATCCTTTCCAACAGAACTAAACACAAGTTAATTAAAAGGTTAGTTTGCCTCCAATAGTTGAAAAAAACAAACATTTGCAGCAAATTAACCTATGAATACAAATCAACATGTGCAAAGTCACATTCCTATGGCTGTGGCTATATTGGTCACTGATTTTTTTTTTCTTTTTTAATAAAATGTCAGAAATGTTTACTTGTAAATTTTGAGTTGTTTATTATTCTCACTTTAACAGATGAAAATAAACAAGTGAGATGGGTAAATTTTCGTTTTTTAATTTTTAAAAAAAAAATCAGATCCTTTATTTGGTTTTTGAACTTTTAGGGTTTTTTTTTTAACAAACAATGCACAACTTGTGCGCAACAAACCACAAACAAATCAAAGGACATTTGTCATACAGTGATAAATCAGCAATCCGTAACAAAAGAAAAGAAAGGGGTAATTTTGTATACACCGCATGAACATATTTCCTACGACAACAAAACTATTAAACCAGCACAAGTTGACTCAAGTCTGTTACTCCTTCCAATAGTATCTAGCTGCACGTGTCTTCTATTTGCTATCATATGGAGCGGAGCCAAACCGGGTATTTCTAGCCAGGGGTCCCATATAGTTTCAAATTTTCTAATACAGTTTTTGTGTTGAAATATTAGTTTTTCTCTGGAGATTACACTGTTAACCTGAATTTTCCACTCTGTTACTTAGGGAGAGGTGGGCAATATCCCTGGCTCACTTCCAGATCCCTGGCTCGCTTCCATAAGGAGGGGGGGGGGGGAGAGGTTTGGGGGGGAGAGGGGTCTGATGTTGAACATGTTACACCCTAAATATGGATGCAACATTCAGAAACTTGAACTTATCCTTTAAATCAGTTTAAAAATATAAATACCCTCTCTCATATTTAATCCCCAGGTCCCATAAAATTGGTTGGATGATATCAAACACTTGCGTACGCAGATTTTAATGCTTTTGTGAAAATGTTGCCGTTTTGCGCATTTCTGTCCTCACAAACTCAAATTGATCTCTTCTTAAAATTACATAAACGTTTTTTATGGATTCTTTTTTTTCCTGGGAGTGCTGAAATGTAATATACTAATAATATCATTACTCTCTGGACTTCTGACCAGGTCTGGTGGACACACTTGAGGACCCTTATAATTACTAAGCTGAATGCCACAGATCAAAGAAATATGCTACTTACATTAAAATGTTTGAAGATGTTGTTCCAAAGTACATTTACAGCTTTATACAAACCTCCTATCATCTTGTTAAAAGATGTTTAAAGAAACCCAGAATTCCTGTCTTGGATAAAAAGCTGCTCTAAGATCCTCCCCATACCTGTCAATCTGACATAATGCCTAGGTGTTTTGTCACATATTACAAGAGGAAGAGGAGGATCGGTCTGTTGAATTATGTTCCACTCCTTCAGACAATTACATGCCCATAATGAAGCAATTGTTTAGGTGAACAGCTAGAACAGTGTGCCACAGGACCATTGTTTCCTGAATTAGCAAGTTTATGTCTGGCTTATTTTAGAAATTTTGAACTTAGGGAAGAAATATGTTTGTGTGTGTATTATCGTAGTAGAAAAGTAACTTCACCTTAGGCTAGATTTCACATTATTTGTTGGGACAGGCCACTCACCTTTAAAAAGGTACCTACAGACTTTGGAAATTAGCTAACCTTGCACATACAATACAGGAGCTGAACACTCTGGTTGATGAAAGACAGACATTCATGTTGCTATTGTGGCACATGGAAGAGAGGGAGATACCCAAGCAACACCCTAATCCTGCAGGGGAAAAAGCAGCTACAGCCGTAATCAAAAGTTTTGAGAATGACACACAGTAATTTTCACAAAGTTTGCTGCTTCAGTGTTTTTAGATATTTTTGTCAGATGTTACTATGGTATACTGAAGTATAAATTACAAGCATTTCATATGTGTCAAGGGCTTTTATTAACAATTACATTAGGTTTATGCAAAGAGTCGATATTTGCAGTGTTGACCCTTCTTTTTCAGGACCTGTGCAATTCGCCCTGGCATGCTGTCAATCAACTTCTGGGCCACATCCTGACTGATGGCAGCCCATTTTTGCATAATCAATGCTTGGAGTTTGTGACAATTTGTGGGGAGTTTTTTGTTCACCTGCCTCTTGAGGATTGACCACAAGTACTCAATGGGATTAAGGTCTGGGGAGTTTCCTGGCCATGGGCCCAACATTTTGATGTTTTATTCCCCAAGCCACTTAGTTATCACTGTTTCCTTATGGCAAGGTGCTCTATCATGCTGGAAAAGGCATTGTTCATCACAAAACTGTTCTTAGATGGTTGGCAGAAGTTGTTCTTAGAGGATGTTTTTGGACCAATCTTTATTCATGGAAGTGTTCTTAGGCAAAATTGTGAGTGAGCCTACTCCCTTGGCTGAGAAGCAACTCTACACATGAATGGACTCAGGATGCTTTACTGTTACCATGACACAGGACTGATGGCAGAGCTCACCTTTTCTTCTTCGGACTAGGTTTTATTCCCAGATGCCCCAAACAATTGGAAAGGGAATTCATCAGAGAAAATTACTTTACCCCAGTCCTCAACAGTCCAATGCCTGTATCTTTTGCAGAATAACAGTCTCTCCCTGATGTTTTTCCTGGAGAGAAGTGGCTTCTTTCCTTCCCTTCTTGCCACCAGGACATCTTCCAAAAGTCTTCGCCTCACTGTGCATGCAGATGCACCTGCTTGATGCCATTCCTGAGCAAGCTCTGCACTGGTTATGCCCCGATCCTGTAGAGGATTCAACTTTAGGAGACAGTCCTGGTGATTGCTAAACATTCTGGTGCCCTGAAGCCTTCTTAACCTCCCTACCAGTATGATTATGTCAGTATTTCTGTGCTCAAAGTGGCGCATTGTTTTTAATGGAAATATGTTGTTTTTTTTATTGCCTGTAATTCTTAGGAATAACTCACTGAAATCTGTTTAAACAAGAGTCTAGTAGACATCCTGGGTGCAATAAAGTTTAATACATTCAATCATAAATTATATTAAAAAATAATAATATAATAATAAATTAAATGTAATCAAATCAAACACACGGAACTCTGTCCAAACAATATTATATAGACACTGCATATTCTAGAAAACATCACGGGTGTGGTATATTTTGAAACACTGGACTGCACAAAGTCCGACATCGCAATCAGGACAGTGGAACCTCGTTTCCTTGCAGATTTTTTTTTACACTCATCTCGCCGAGAGCAACACACCACGCACATCCGTGTAGGTGCTGCCTTTTTTTGGGTTGGTGGGGTGTGGTCCATAAAGTGACATCCAGTCAGGCGTTCTGGGTTGACAACTCCTACAGCACGTCATCCGGATCTACCCACAGACACTGATGGTGTTTGATGTTTGAGAAAAATGGATTCCGCAACTTTCCAGATAAAGTCTGCATGAAGCACAGGCTTGTCACTGTTTTTGCGGAACAGAATGTAGGCATTCCACAAGCACTGTTCCAGAAGATGCCAGAAAATCTTTTTGTAATATTTCTACTGCTGCTTTCTCATCGCCGGATAGAAAGTCATGGCTTGGTCAGGTCTGTCGACACCTCCTATGGTGCTATTGTAGTCAATAACAAACTGTAGCTTCTGGATGTTTTTCCCACCTTTTGTTTGTACCATCACTGTGGAGGGATTGTGAATGGTACTCATTAGGCACACATCCTTCTTGTCCCGCCACCTCAGTGCCATTATTTTACCTTTCTTCCAGGCAACTATTTCTCCCGACTTCAGTTTGGTTTTTCCAAACATTGATGGCAGGTTGCGCTGGTTAGCCCGAATGATTCCATATGCATCCGTGTTGTGCTGCAGAAGAACCTCGTAAAGTTCCGGAGAGGTATAGAAATTGTCTGTTGTTACACAGTAGCCTTGGTTTAGCACAGGCTCAATCAGTGACAGGACGAAAGATGTTGCCATTCCATATTTGCTGTACTTGGGATCAAATTTTGTTCCTTTGCCAGTGTATATAAACTGTGTTGCATATGTATCCAGTAGAGGATTCGCACAGCAGGTAGGATTTGATGCCAAATCGTGCTCTCTTGGACGCGATGTACAGTATCGAGCTGAGCCTTTCCTTGTAGGCCATTAGACTTTAGTCTATGCTAATATCTCTTTCTGGTACATAGCTCTGCTGGAAATTTCTGACAATTATTTGGGAGACTTCCCAGATTTTTTTTTTTAGCTTGGGAGCTGGATGAGTTGTTTCATCAAAATCCTCACTGTAAAGTGAGAAAATTTCATAATAAATGAAAAACTGTACTCCGACATGACTGTGTCAATGAACGGTGTGGCGAGCATTTTGTTGGTGCTCCAGTACCACCTCTGCAGCAGTTTCTCCACCACTCCCTGCAGAATAATTAGTCCGAGAAACAGCCAAATGTCCTCTTTGGTCACAGGTTCCCACTTTCTGCTTTGTGAAAACCTGCTGTGTGGAGCAGCAAGATGTTGCGCTGCGTACCTATTATTATTATACAGGATTTATATAGCGCCAACAGTTTGCTCAGCGCTTTACAATATAACAGGAGACAATGCAGCCACAATACAGTTTAATACAAGAGGGAAAGGAGAAACCTGCTCCTTGGAGCTTACAATCTAGGAGATTTTGTCTCCGTCATGATTATTTCAATAACCTCATCGGTCAGAAGCAATTCTATGTACACCAAGGGGTTGTCACCTTCAACGTGGACTTTCATACCAGGTGCACCGGTAAACGGAAATCTTGGTGGCGCTGGCGTACCACAATCAATAGTGCACCACGTGCGCAGATCACATCAATCTCAGATTCGCCGCTGTCTTCACTGTTGGTGTCTGAAGACAAATTGCCACATGAGTTGCTATCGCTCAATTCAAGTAACTCCTCACTGTCGCTGTTTGCTAGCTCATCATAAACCGCTTTGGCGCTAGCAAGACGCTTTTTGGAAGCCATAAGTGCAAAACCGTTTTTAGTCACCGAAACTTAAAAACTGCACTATGGATATATCTGAGGTAATGCTACAGTGTATGCGCTAGAGTAACACTTTATTTTGACACAGGTCTATTTTTAAAACTCCCGCCTCCCGCAAGCCCAACCCCCGACGGCACAGTGTGGCTGTCTCATGCTGATCAGCATGAAATAGCCGGGAAGGAGACAGGGGACAGTCGGAGGGGAAGGCTCGAGGTGGCTGCAGGACCCGGGACATGGATCGCAGGACCAGGTATGTAATTTGCGGTGACCCTGTTTCTGGCTCGGGGGGTTATCACTTTTGACAGCTAGATGTAACCCCGAGCCAGGCTCGGGAAAACCGCTAGGGAGGTTAACAACTGAACCTCCCTTCTTTTTAATGATCCCATAAATGGTTTATTTAGGTGCAATCTTAGTGGCAGTAATATCCTTGTCTGTAAATCCCTTTTTGTGCAAAGCAATGATGACCGCATGTGTTTCCTTGCAGGTAACTATGGTTAACAGAAAAAGAACAATAATTTCAAGCACCACCTTCCTTTTAAAACTACCAGTCTGTTATTCTGACAATCAGCATGACATAGTGATCTCCAGCCTTGTCCTGGTCAACACTGACACTTGTGTTAGCGAGAGAATCGCTGATATGATGTCAGCTGGTCCTTTTGTGGCAGGGCTGAAATGCAATGGAAATTTTTTGGGCGGGATTAAGTTCATTTTCATGGCAAAGAGGGACTTTGCAATTAATTGTAAGTCATCTGATCACTCTTCATAACATTTTGGAGTATATGCAAATTACCATCATACAAACTTAGGCAGCAGACTTTGTGAAAATTAATATTTGTGTCATTCGCAAAAAACTTTTGTCCACGGCTGCATAAGCCAAGAATAACTATTCCAGTAAATAAATGTGCCCCTCAAGAGTGCTTGTTTGGGAAGAACGTACAGACAGAGAAATATTTCTTACCCAACCATAACATTCTCTTATAACAGATGTCCCTACATTTTTTGAGTATTGTGATGATTTGAAATAAAAAAAAAAAAGTATTACCATAATTTCTAAAATGTGGAATCCCCCAGGTGACCAAGCATATGGAGCATTTGGTGCTGTGGTTGCTGAGTTAGTGTGGTCAACAGTGTGCCTCTCATCCCCCACCACTGTTTGGCCATGCTACTAAGCAGGAGACAATTTCTGGAAGCAGAGTGCCATCATCCACCATAGCTAGGGGCCTGGCAGAGCTTGTGGGTATGTGTTTCAATGTGGAGCACTTGTCGAGCTAGTGTGGTTGATAGCATGCTGTCCCTCCCCCCACCACTGTATGACTATGCTATTCAGCAGGAGACAATTTTAATGAACCATATCTGGCAGCATCATTCGCCAAAGCCCTCCTGTGCACGTATTCTCCTTCTGTCAGCAGTAGTAAGCAGAGGGCACAGCTGATCCTTGCTGAACTCGCCAGCCCCATCTGTTCAGTGCCTACACACAGAGCAGAGAGAGAGGTGGCTACAGTGCTGTGCTGTAGCTCCCTCATTGGAATGCCCATAAACTGAGCTTCAGCTTGGGGTAGAGCTGACAGCCAGCAGAAACAGAAAAAAAGATTAGTTTTTATTGAATAATGCAACCAAAGATCAGAACAGGACCAAGTGCTCTACGCATGTGATCCCCTGGCTGACTCCACAACAATTTGTAGATTATAGTGAGACTTCTTCTGTAACTTAGTGCATCAGTGTATAATTTGAACAAAAACAATGGCCATTGGAAATAGAACTTTACTATCTGGTTTTACCATTAGGAAATGCAACCACATACAGATCAGTGTTTCAAAGGCCCTGCCTAGGTCCTACAGACCTTAAGTAAAGAGAAACTATAAAGGTTTTAAGTAAAATGTTTACTTTTTTTAGTTTGTTTTAGGTTTATTAACTATACGAATATAGTCATTATTTTACAAATAAATGTTTAATACATGAAAATTATTTGTTTATATATGTTTTCACCCATGATTCACAAACTTTCAATTGAATAAAATTGCAAAAATGTGTGCATCTTGGTGAAAAGTTGTATGAATCCTGTGTGAAAACATTTATATAAATAGACTCTTATGTGATATTTTAAGTGATTTCATAGGAATAGCCGTCTGTCTCCCCACTGACTTAATTTTATTAAAACTTTGAACTTATCCATTCAGTTCATGTGTGTACATTGTAGCTTGAGCTACAGAGTTCTGCATACAGACTTTTTTTTTTTTTTAACAACAAATGCTGAGCAGTCTGGAAGACATGTAAACAGACAATTAAAATGTAAATTGCTGGCAATAAAATAAAAATATTAATAGAAAGCTTTTCTATTTACCTAATTAAAAAAAAAAAAGAAATCCATCAAGTTTTAAATATTTTTTACCTGACAGATGTACTTTGTGACATTGAGTAAAGCAGGGTTCCAGCATAAAGATTTTACCAAACCCTAGCATGAACAAGACATGAGGTGAGCTCAGCTAAGAATCTCGGCTGCCTGTCATCACCTTCTCCATATCTGTTCTTATAGATCTGTGCCAGATCTCACTACCAGGCTTCAGGAAAGTCCAGATGGGGGAAAACGTTTCTCCACTCCAACTAAGTTGAGAAAGTCAGTTTTGGTGGAGTTGTTCCATAATTTTTTTTTTTAATACAATATAGGGGGTCTAATTGTACAGTTGTGTTCAAAATAATAGCAGTGTGTTGAAAAAAGTGAATAAAGCTCAAAATCCTTCTAATAGCTTTTATTTCCATACACACAAATGCATTGGGAACACTACACATTCTATTCCAAATCAAAACATGAAGAAAAATATATCACATTTGTCACATTATCACATTAAAAAAATTGAAGAAAAGTGAATATTAGACTGTTCAAAAAAATAGCAGTGTTTGTATTCTTCTTTACAAACTCAAACATTCACTATATAAACTGAAAAATGTTTGAAGATTTTGCTTTCCTTTGAATCACTTAATTAATATTTAGTTGTATAAGCACTGTTTCTGAGAACTGTTGTACATCTGTGTTGGATGGAGTCAACCAACGTCTGGCACCTGTGAACAGGTATTCCAGCCCAGGATGATTGGACTACATTCCACAGTTCTTCTCCATTTCTTGGTTTTGCCTCAGGAACTGCATTTTTGATGTCACCCCACAAGTTTTCTATTGGATTAAGATCCGGGGATTGGGCTGGACACTCCATAACGTCAATCTTGTTGGTCTGGAACCAAGATGTTGCACGTTTACTGGTGTGTTTGGGGTCGTTGTCTTGTTGGAACACCCATTTCAAGGGCATTTCCTCTTCAGCATAAGGCAGCATGACCTCTTCAAGTATTCTGATGTATTCAAACTGATCCATGATCCCTGGTATGTGATAAATAGGCCCAACACCGTAGTATGAGAAACATCCCCATATCATGATGCTTGCTCAACCATGCTTCACTGTCTTCACAGTGTACTGTGGCTTGAATTTAGTGTTTGGGGGTCGTCTGACAAACTGTCTCCGGCCACTAGACCCAAAAAGAACAATCTTACTTTCATCAGTCCACAAAATGTTGTGCCATTTATCTTTAGGCCAGTCAATGTGCTCTTTGGCAAATTGTAACCTCTTCAGCACATGTCTTTTTTTCAACAGTGGGACTTTGCGGGGGCTTCTTGCAGATAGCTTGGCGTCTTCTAATTGTAACAGTACTCACAGGTAACTTTAGACCTTCTTTGATCTTCCTGGAGCTGATTGTTGGCTGAGTCCTTGCCATTTTGGCTATTCTTCTATCCATTCGAATGGTAGGTTTTCGCTTTCTTCCACATCTTTCAGGTTTTGGTTGCCATTTTAAAGCATTTGCGATCATTTTAGCTGAGCAACCTATCATTTTCTGCACTTCTTTATATGTTTTCCCCTCTCCAATCAACTTTTTAATCAAGGTACGCTGTTCTTCTGAACAATGCCTGGAACGACCCATTTTCCTCAGAATTTCAGAGAGAAATGCACTGTAACCAGCATGTACAACGTTTGCTGCCTTCCTTCCTTAAATAAGGGCAATAATTGCCACCTGTTTTTCAAAGTATGAATGACCTCACTAATAGAACTCCACACTGCTATTATTTTGAACATGCCCCTTTCAATTAGTGATTCAATTACACAGAATCAGCAGCATGCATGACTGTTGAGTCTGTTGGATTTCTATTACTCTACTACACCTGTTAGTAAATTATTTGCCATGTAGAAATATCTTTTCTACCAAAAACAGTGATTGATCAGGTTAGTGATGTCTGACTGCTATTATTTTGAACACAACTGTATATTTGATGCCTAGCTTGAAGTAAACTTTTTTTATCGCTTTATTTTAAATAGTGTACGGTACATCAATTGTGGAAATCCAAAAACATACAGCTAGTTTATTACTCAAGTCTTTAATGTCCTGAAGGAAATTCAAGTAAAAACAGTGTTTAGTTAAGGCTACAATTTCTTGGCACTCAGAAAATCTTGTTTTCAATCAGAAACCTGAAAGAAAATATTTTTAGTGGTCAGCATAGTAATGAAAATGGAATGGCTGAGTTTAAATAAATGAAAGCAGAGAAACCATGAAAAAAACAAAACAAAAAAAAACACCTACATACATTATAAGTTTTGAATCACATCTTACCTTATATTAACAACATGGCCAATATTCTTCATAGCAGACATTAAGATTTCAGTGGTAAGGCTTTCAGCAAAGCTGACCCCGTCGTGTCCAATACCACTATCACCTGCCAAACTTGTGCTGCTGAGTTCACGTTCTGCTTTCTCAAAAGCTGCACTCACTATTTTATCGGCAAACATGGCTCTTTTGTCAAGGTCTATTTGAATTTTGGGGATGTTCAGATGAAAAAGTCTTGATTTCTGACCAGTATTTTGCTTAGACTTCGCAGACTGTTTGATTTTTCTGGATACATCGTGCCCCAGTAAGAAGTGACAGGATGACAAAGGGATTCCTTGCTGCTCTTTTGCACTACATAACCTGCAAGCAGTTCCATAAGAATGTACAAGTTTTGTGGCATTTGAGTCTTTGTCGGGTTTCCTTCTGTTTTCCATTGCTTGAAGCCTTGCCCGCTCCAAGCTGAATTCTAAAGTGCTATCTACAACCTTACAGGCATATTGCTCAATAGCCTGTATAAAACTTTCACTATAACCATTATCATTCAAACTACCTGTGCTGTGATAGAGCTTCTGTTTACGAGAGAAAAGTAAAGGTGTCTTGGGAAATGAGGTTTTGACAATTTCTCCATTGACATAATCATTTTTTGATTTTGTATAGAGACAGGAATCAGTTAACGATTTGGGAAGAGAAGCAGAAGACATTTTTAACCTTTTCTTTACATCACATGTTATGGTGTTAGCAAGAGATTCTGCAAAATGGATCAGCCTATTGAACTCTGCTTTATGTGCAGAGTTCTCAGTGAAAGAAGGGAGGAGAACGTTATTTTGTCTTCTATTGTCTTTACCTACATGGTGAGTCCTACCAAAAAGTCGGAATATGTCCTTGTTACTACTTGATTCAGGTTTCATTCTAGGCATTATTTTTCTATTGCACTTTGTCTTAATGGTTTTTGAGGCCTGCTGCAAGCCAGACTTTATAGCTCTATAAGCTAATCTACTTGCATATTGATCCAATATTAACTCACTGCTCCCTCCTTCCATTTTCAGAACCCGTATGAGGTGGTCAGCATACTCTTCAGTTACACTTTCACAGCTTGGAAATTTTGAAGTCAAACCTGCACCCCCATAATAGTGAGGCAGGGGAAGAGTTGCTGCATCAGAAGATTTAAAGCTTGTGAAATTATGACCTCTTTCTTTGGGTCTACAATCTTTATCAGGTTTTTGAGAACTGCTATATTCCAGGTCACAGGAATTCTTTCTGCTGCCTAGCACTTCCTTTGCATCACTGATGACTTCACCAGCAACACAGTTAGCATATGAACATAGGGTTTCTAAAAGGTCCTCTGTAATATTTCTCATGTAGGCTGGGTATCCCCATTTATCACTCAGGATGCTTAACTGTGAACTGTTCTTCATTGTTGGTCCCTGGACAGACTCTTCGGCTAATGAATAAGCAGCCATGTCCGTAGCAATTGATATGATGTTACTAGACAAATATTCAGCATACCTACAGGTTTCTTCAGATACCTCATACTCTTCAAAACTCTCATCACTACTGGAACTTTCAACCTCTTCAGATAGAGACCTCATAAGCTTAAGCATAAAGTCATCCTTTTTCATACTGTTATGTTCATAAGCAGACAGATGGGGTGTAGATGGAGGGGTGGCAGGATAGAACTCTTTCGCCAGTTGTCCCTTTAGTTTTTTACTTAGTTTTCTCAAGCTTCTCTCAGGACTTATGTCAGAAGACATTAGAGGTGTAGAAGGTGGTGTGCCAGGCAGTAAGGTCCCATTTGAACCTTTATAGGAACTCCTATCCTCCATGAAGAAGTTATCACCACAACTGCACATGACAGAGGAAAAGCTATTGATATGAGGAAGACAACTTTGCAGGCCAAACAATGGGGTATCTGTAGCTTCATTGTTTTCTACACTTCTTCTTGCAGTTAAACCTCCCATACTGGATTTATTGTTACCATTATTTGAATTCCCTAGTGGAGCAAAGGGTGCAGGTTTACTGGCAGACCCAGACTTACTGTCTCTTGCAGAAGGTTTTGCAGTAAAGCAAGGATTCAGACAGGCATGTTCTACTTGAACACAGCTATTAGTATGATAGCCAACTAAATTAACAGAGATATCTTGGTTAGATTTACTTGCACTCCATTTATTTGATAGAGATTGTGCATTTTTTCCACTTGAATGCCTACAAGCACCTTTAGAAAACTCATCTGCAAATTGATGCTGTGAGGAACCACCTCCTATTGAAAGGTGTTTGGGAGGGATCTCAATAATTCTTTTCGTCATCATTTCAGCATAATCTTCCACAGTTCTGGATGATTTGATAACATCATATGCCTCATTTACAATCATATCCACCATAGTCACTGAGAATGGTTTTACTCCATCTGCTTCCGCTTTTACAAAGTCTACATATCTTTGCTCTTGTCGGCTATTGTTTATACATTTAGATGACGGAAGAATGGCATTATCAGATGGTAGTTCATCATAGTCTTTTCTCGAGAAATTATAATTGTCTGCATTATTAATGCACATATTATTGGTGGACAGGTCTTTGTGGTCACTGGAAACTGAATGCTGGCTTAGCACTTTTGCTGCTACAGGCACAGGAACAGAACTGATAAGACCAGATGTAAACAGTAAAGCATAGTGAACAGTGAAGTCTCTCTTGGACTCCTGTGTGGCAGGTGAGGATAAATTATGTACAGCAGGACTAGGATAAGAGGATGAAGACTGAGTTGACTGATTTATTCCTTCAGAACCTACGTATTTCAAGTTGTCCATAGAAACACTTATAGCAGCTTCTGTGGTGAAAGTCACATTCACTTGGGATAGTTCAATAAAGGCCTCCTGTATCACAGATTCTGATAAATCATTAGCATAGGAACTTACTACAACATCTTCATAATCAAAATACTGTGTATCAGAAGACACATTTGGGGTAGGTGGGTGAGAGAACTGACATACTTCCATAATACCTTCAAAAACAAGTTCTTCTGCAAGGTCTGCAGCAAATCGTGTAACTGCATTGGTAACCATTTGTTTCTTTATATAGCGGAGTTCTTGCAAAGCACTTGTCATGACTTCACTTACCATAAGATTTGCTAAGCCATTAATAGCTCGCTTCTTAATTGAAAATGCCTGTCTCCTACCAATTTCATAAAAAGCCATTTGAAATACATATGATGTTAGCCTTGCTGCTAGTTGGCACAATGCACTAGTACAAGAAGAAACCCCCCTTTGTAAGTCTTTAAATGCACTTCCAAAGCTTTTTTCCACCAGATCTGCAGCAAATTTCTGAATTCCTCCTTTAATGGATTTATGCTTTGTTTTAATTTTTCGTTCAGACTCTTTATTCGCTTTTCGTTTAAGCTTTGTAACTTTCTCAGGTTCTTTTTTCAAAAGATTAGAGATGGTGGTTTGTCTTTAACACAGAATCAAACATGTCAGCACATACACGGTTAGCATAATTGCTAAAAGCAACATAAGAATCCTCCTTAAAAGGCGCAGCCTCATTTTGGCTTGCTGATCGAAGAGAAGCCTCTGAACCGATGGCAATTCCAGGAGGGCTAAAAGCAGATGATCTAATGGGACTAAATAAAGATCCATTATCCTCCGCACATGTCTTTGCTGGGCGTGGAGATTCTGGTACATCAACTATACTACTAAATGGAGACTCTGCTTTACGAGGGGTTGGTTTTTTAATACTAGCCGACAGTGTGGGGCGGTCAAACTTAAATTTTTGTGGATTCATGCAAACTGTGCTTACACTTACTTTTGCATTTTTTCTTTTCTTAGGAGGGCTGTCTAATATAGGCTGTTTATTGATCTGAAAATTGTCTTCTAAAAATGGATCCAGCTCATCAAACCGATCAAAGCTATCAAAAAACTCACTTAATTCTGAATCTGAGTCCTCAACACCATCTTTCCCAACAGGAATCTTTGGAAGGCTAAGTTTTGCTCTTAAGCTTTTCTGATAGCCTTCTTCATCTAAGAAAATAATAGGACTTGGGCTAGAGCATTCAGACTCTGAGGTTTCTGTAGGAGATGGAGAAAACGTGTTTTTGTCTTGGCCATTTGCATGCTTCCATGTGTCACATGATGTATTGCAAGTACTTTTAGCCAATGATGAAAAATCCTGATGTCCCAAGTAACTCATTAGCACTGTAGACTTGATAGATGATCTTCGACGCACAGAACTAAATATAATTTTTGTACCACTGATGTCTAAGCAGTGAGGAGACTGTGTCTGAGAGGCAGCATCACGTTGATTTGTTGAGGATCCCCATTGCAATCCTAAAAGAGAATAAAAGTCTTAGGTTTCGTTTCTAAAATTATGTTTAAAACACAAATCACACCTGGCACACGTTTTCCAAAGTAAATTCAAATATAGATCTGTATTGCAAATCAGCAAGTCTAAACATGGAATTTACAAAAAAAATCCCACTTAATGTGCTGTCATAAACTAAGGCAAAAACATATAAAAATAGTATAAGTTTCACTGAAGAAAAATTCTCTATTAAGACAAATTGTTCAGGCAAATGTACAACTAGAGATATCCAAGCACATACATGTTAAAAAAAATGACAAACTATATAGGAGTAAGCCTTTCTAGATGCTTTAAAAAGACTGCAAAATAAGCCATAATTCCAGAAAAAAGATTACCTTGGTTCCATTTATATTTTTTATTACCATTAGGTTTTGAAATACATTTTATAACAGTGTATTTCAAAGACATTTCAAATTACAGTTCCCTCTATTCTATGATAATGCAGGGAAGGTGGGAAATGTACATTTACGTCCATATATATTTGGACACAGGCACAATTTTAGTTTTGTTCAAGTATTTACCAAAACATATTCAAGCTATAGTTATATAATGGATATAAGCTGAAAGTGCACACTCAGGTTTAAATTTGAGGGTATGTACATCCAAATTGGAGGAAGGGTTTGGGAATTACAGCTCTTAAGAGTAGCCACCCCCCCCTTTTCAAGGGACATAAAGTAATTGGACAATTGAATTAAAAGCGGTTTCATGGCCAGGTGTGGGCTACTCCTTTGTTATTTCTTCATCGATTAAGCAGGAAAAAGGTCTGGAGTTGATTCTAAGTGTGGTATTTGCATTTGGAATCTATTGCTGTGAACCTACATCATGCGTTCAAAGGAGCTGTCCATGCAAGTGAAACAGGCCATTGTAAGGCTTCAAAAATGAAACAAATCCATCAGAGAGATGGCAGCAACATGAGGAATGACCAAATCAACAGTTGGGTACATTCTGAGGAAAGAAGAATGCACTGGTGAGCTCAGCAACATAAAAAGGCATAGATGTCACGGAAACAACAGTGGTGGATGATCGCAGGATCCTCTCTATGGTGAAGAAAAACCCATTCACAACATCCAGACAAGTGAAGGACACTCTCCAGGAGGTGGGCGTATCATTGTCAAAGTCTACAATCAAGAGAAGACTTCATGAGAGCAAATACAGAGGGTTCACCACAAGGTGCAAACCATTTATAAGCCTGAAGAATAGTAAAGCCAGATTAGACTTTTGCCAAAAAACATCTAAAAAAGCCAGACCAGTTCTGGAAAAGCATTCTTTGGACGAATGAAACTAAGATTAATCTGTTTCAGAATGACGAGAAGAAAAAAGTGTGGAAAAGGTTTGGAACAGCTCATGATCCAAAGCACACAACTTCATCTGTAAAACATGGTGGAGGCAGTGTGATGGCATGGGCATGCATGGCTTCCAGTGGCACTGGGTTATTGGTGTTTATTGATGATGTGACAGAAGACAGAAGCAGCCGCGTGAATTCTGCAGTGTTTAGAGATATACTGTCAGCCCAGATTCAGCCAAATGCAGCAAAGTTGATTGGACGGCGCTTCATAGTACAGATGGACAATGATCCAAAACACACTGCAAAAGCAACCCAGGAGCTTTTGAAGGAAAATAAGTGGAATATTCTGCAATGGCCAAGTCAATCACCTGATCTCAACCCAATTGAGCATGCATTTCATTTGCTGAAGGCAAAACTAAAGGCAGAAAGACCCACAAACAAAGAACAACTGAAAACAGCTGCAGTTAGAGCCTGGCAAAGCATCAGAAAGGACAAAACCCAGTCTTTCATAATGTCCATGACCTCAGGCAGTTATTGCCAGTAAAGGATTCTCAACAAAATATTAAAAATGAAAATTTTATTTATGATCATATTCATTTGTCCAATTACATTTGAGCCCCTGAAAATGGAGGGACTGTGTATAAAAATGACTGCAGTTCCTAAAATTTGTACTTGATATTTATGTTCAACCCCTTGAATTAAAGCTGAAAGTCTGCACTTCAAATTCAGTTGGATTGTTTTGTTTTAACTTATTCTGGTGGCATACAGAGCCAAAAGTGTGAAAATTGTTCCTGTGTCCATATATACATGGACCTAACTGTATATGGTTAGTTTTGGCACAACTTCTGTGGAACTGAACAGTGCAGCCCCTGGAACACCACCATTTTTGATTACATGTGCACATGTAGGGGGGCAGATAATATTTTCATGAATCCCTCCCCCAAACCAGACTCTGCATGCAGACAACCTGACAAAATCCAATACATAAGCAGAAACTTAAAGCTGAACTCCTGGCATGAATACTTTAGTCTAAACATATTTTTCAATACCTACAAAGGATACAATTCCACTTTACACCAAATGACGAAGTCATTGTTATGCTGCACAAAGTTTGTGAAGATATCAGAGTTATGGGAGGCACTAAATATGTCCACCCACTATAGGCTGCCTGCATAAAATCTACAGGAGGGGGTGGATTAAAGACTGGAAACCCTGCAGAAAGAGGGGAAGCAGCAGTGACCAAACATTATTACAGGAAGCTTCTGCACAGAAGAAAGTTTCACAATAGATTACTGTACAAGTGTGGAAGGAATACGCAAAAGCACACAAAAGATTTAAGCAGGAATACACATGGTTTTTGTACTATTGTTCAATATTTGCTTATCACACAAAAAAACAGACCAAACATTTTGGAAAAAAATAAAAAAATTTTGTCCAAAAAGAAAACCAAAAATCTAATTTCTTCATAAATTTTGGCCAAAATGTATTCTTCTACATGTCCTTGGTGGAAAAAAAAACCCAATACGTGTATATTGATTGGTTTGCATGAAAGATATAGCATCTACAAACACACACACTTTTTCCTAACAAATTCATTCAAGACCATGTTGCAAAAATGAATACACCCCAATGGAAGTCTTAAGAGCAAAGCTAAAATTTAGAAAAAATCCTAATTAACAAGAATTCAACTACAGGCGAGTCTAATTATTCATTAAACAGATGTCCAGCAGACAGTTGATTATAAAAGGGTGTTACTTAAAGAAAACCCCTTCCCATTTCATGCAGTCAGCAATGGCACCACATGGAAGAGAAATGTCACAAGGCCTGAGGAAGAAAATACATTTCTTTGCACAAAAACGGTGAAGGCTACAAGAAGGTCAGCAAAGCTTTATTTAACAGTCGAATATACTGTAGCAAAAATGATACAAAAATTTTACAAAAATGGAACTGCAACCATTTCACAAAGATATCTAGGCCGTTCACGGAAGTTAACACCTTGACAGCAGCGCCTCCTGATGAGAAGAGTTGAAGAAAATCACCATGCAAGTTCACTGCAGCCAAACTGGGGTGATTATTTGCCATGACGCAATATGGCGTATACTGCAGAGGAATGGCATGCATGGGTGTCGTCCTTGAATGTGCATGAGCAATATGCAGAAAAAGCCCGCCTAGAATTTGCCAGGGCCCATGTTGAAAAAGACGAAGACTACTGAGACTCTGTACTCTGGAGTAATGAGACCAAGATAAATGTTTTTGGAACTGATGGCTTCAAAACTGTATGGCGTCACAAAGGTGAGGAGTACAAAGAAAAATGCATGGTGCCTACAGTGAAACATTGTGGTGGCAGTGTCCTCCTGTGGGGCTGCATGAATGCTGCTGGTGTCGGGAAGCCGCATTTCATTGATGGTATCATGAATTCACAGATGCACTGCTCTATATTGAAAGAGAAGATGCTACCATCACTCCGTGCCCTTGGTCGTCATGCACTTTTCCAACATCACAATGATCCAAAACACACATCTAAAGCCACTGTTACTTTCCTGAAGAACAGGGTGAAAGTGATTCAGTGGTCAAGTATGTCTCCTGATCTGAACCCAATCCAACAACTTCGTTCTTGAAGAATGGAAAAAGATGTATGTTGCAATATATCGGCAACTTGTTCATTCCATGCCTAGAAGACTTGGTGCTGTCCTTACATATCATGGAGGTCATACAAAATACTAGATGTAGTAGTTTTTGTTGTGGGGTGTATTCATTTTTGCATCAATTAATTTGACTAAAACTGAAGATTTTGTCATCTAAGTTATAATATTAACCTTACTTTCATGTAATGTGCTAAACAAATGTTCTATAAAACTCAGTTTTGTCAAAATTTTGAAAACTGTTCTTGTGTACATTGAGATATTGCTTAAAATCTTACCTTTCCAAAAGGGGTGTACTCATTTATACTCAGCACTGTATATATAGAATTTTTTTATACTATTAATGGCAGTGATCAGTGTAGCAAACCTGCTCATCAGAGTGGAAGCGGAGTGCTCCTTCAACTTGCTGTATTTGAGGTATTCCTTAATCATTCCTCACATCCCCCCCCCCCCTTTCCGTTCCTGAGAGGCAAACGTTATCTCCTGACAGATGGTGGGGGGTCAGCCCAGGAGAAACATTCCTGGTGGGGCCAGCAGTCCTGGGAAGCATTGACCCAAAACTGTGTAAGCCCCCCCACATCATAAAACAGATAATAGCTTCTCTCCCGGACTTGAAAGAGAGTTGAACATACCTCAGGTCAACCGTATGTTTCATGTCATGTATTATGAAGCTATAGTTAATTCAGTTTCCCACTGACTACTCCCAAAACGTGTAGTAAGAGCCCCCCTCCCCTTTGAGAGGGACTTTTAAGAGAGACAAGTTAGTTAGAGTTTTGACACACACAGAGATCTCCCAGCAACATCGTAACAAAAGGAGATCAAGAACCTACCCTGCTAACTTGGATCTGCAAACCCAGGCATATGGGCAAGTAACTTAACCCTGTAATCTTTTTCCTAATTATCTCTTTGCTGTGTCTTTATATATATATATATATATATATATATATATATATATATATATATATATATATATATATATATATATATATATATATTTATTTTTGTGACATCTCTTTGTAAATATTTTATTGCATCTGTCTGACGCTTTTAGTAATAAATCTTTCTTTCCGAAAGTGTTAAACTGTTTCTAGGCGCTTACTTGCAATTCACGAATTCCTGCCTTTGAAGAGACGCTACTGTTTGGTATATCTCTGTATAGTAGGTCCACGGGCCGTGCTATATAGATCAATATTTCAATCATTATAGTGTATATTTGATAACGGGAGTTTCCCAGTCTCCGACAAAAGTGGTGGTGGCAGTAGAGGGTTAGTTGCGTAATTAACCCGACCCAGTAACAAGCGCATTTAAGCTGCAGGCACCGATTGTAGTCCATTAGCTGGGCAATCGCTGTGCTGGGTGCAGCTGAATGTGGCCTTGTTACGCGCGTCACACCGCGGTTTTTAGATCGGCCGGTCCTTCGGTCACGAGTTTTTGTTGAGAAGGTCTGGGGTCTGACGCCGTGGGCGTGACGTATTAAAGTTAGTCGCGGTCGTGCGATTGTCGCCTGTTGGTGGCGGCGACCGCGGGTCGTGACAATCAGCGTCTTATAAAAGGACTGCGATAGTGTAAAGAGCGGTTTGACACTAACTGACAAACTACCACTGACATCACCAATGACATTAATACAGTGATACTACTACTATACATGGTCACTGTACTAATGACACTGGCTGAAAATGGATGAACACCTAGGGCAATCAAGGAGTTAAATATATGCCTAACAATGTGATGTGCTGCTTTTACTAACAGATCTCTGTTTCTTATTCTTGGAAGGCAGCGACGCACCAGTACATACTTTATGCACCACAGGACGTCCGAGGTGCATTGTGGGTGGGCGGTCCTTAAGTGTTTAAGACAAAATTAAGTTGGGTGGACAAGGGCACAACAGCAATCTTGTTTTTTTCTTACAGGTTAACAACCACTTAAAAACTTGTATGACATTGCACTCACTTATATAAACATTTAGTTCATGCATTTAGTAAATGCAATGTCAGATCATCCACCCTCACTGTTGCCACCTATATAATATTTGTATTTCTTTTTAGAAATACTGTACACACACACTATATGCCTTATGTATTTACATTTATTTCATTTTACACATTTCCTTTTTTTTCTCCATGTTGTTCTGGTCAGTGGGGACCAGATACAAAGAGAACACCTCCTGCGCTCTAGGACTCAAACCAGGGGTGGAGGAATCGAGGAACCTCAAAACAATTCCACCAGTGCATGGAAGGATGTGCAGCTCTACAACAAGGCTGGGGAAGCCCGACTGATACTGTGAAGTGAAGTAAAAAGAAAGAGCGCACCAACCTTGCGCATTACCTCAGTAATTCAGTGATTTTAATAAAATATATATACTCACAGACAAGGATGCAAAACAAGCGTTACAGATCCTCAAAGGACTAGGGAGTGTAGAGCCATTGTGAGTCATGTCACGAGGGTAGACTCTCAAAGTGAGCTGACGCATTTGGAAGGGAGACCCTTCTTCATCAGAGCTCTCCCTTCAAAACACATAAGGACACTTTGAGAGTCTACCCTCATGACATGACTCACATTGGCTCTACACTCCCTAGTTCCTTTGAATATCTGTCATGCTTGTTTTACATCCTTGTTTGAGTATATATATTTTATTTAATAAAATCACTGAATTACTGAGGTAATGCGCAAGGTTGATGCGCTCTTTTTGCTTCACTTCACAGTATCAGTGGGGACCAGATCCAGACCTCCCATGCAGCTGTGCACCAGCAGATCACTTCTAAGAGCTGTTTATTGCTGGCGAAAATCAGCCAGCAACAGATCACTATAGTAGTGATCGACTGCTGTAGAAGAGGCTGGAGAGAGTTGCAATAGCTCAGTTGGAGTCCCTGTACTGGCAGAAGTGCCATGATGTTACTATACTCCTGATATGACTACATTTGCTTCTACAGTGCGCTCCTATGGACTGATCTGTAGAAGCATCAGAAGCCCAGCAGCTAATTGTTTCTGTTTCCAGGCTTAATGTTTGACAGCCAGCAGTTCCAGTGCTAGTGCCACTAGTTTTAGCTCTAGTGCCATGAGACTGCAGGAGTCCCTGACACGGGTCACAGTTTTAAAACCGCACTAGGGCAAAAAGCTGCTACTAGAGCGATTTAGAGCTCATTCACATGGGCAGAAAAAAAATGTAGCATTTTCTATAGATTTGAATATTTGCAGCGTAATTCCCCACAACTATCATCCTCATATCAACAATTATTTGTTGAGTTTTAATCATTATTATGCAAAATTCATGGGCAGATACCAAACATTAGAGAGGCATTGATGCCTGTGATGGAAGAAGTGGAATGCTAACTCCATGATACAGGCTCAGTATAACATTTAGCAATTCTGCTATTAACGAGAAGGGCTGATTTCCAAGAGTATGTAAGGGACTTGCTTTTCTGCAGACTGGTAAACCTTTTTTGTACAGAAATAAAAGCAACAAAATTCACTGCAACCTGTATATATGGCAATCGGGCATTATAGACATACTGAGCTGACTGGAATGCATACACAAACCAGGCATACACAAATTTGAAAGATACCTTTTTTGTACCATCAAAACCTGCCATCTTGAATTGTGAAGACAAGGAGCAGATATGCATTTTGCACATTAAATTAGTCTAACTCAAGTGAAAATTATTCAAGGGCCTAAAGTCTCTGAACCTTGGAACCCACCCTTGCTTGGTTACCCCAAGCAACCATGGGCTTCTCACTTAGGTTGTTGAGCATGAATTTTATAATAACAGATTTTGGAAACCATTAAAAGTCTATAAAAAGACACAAACACCTATTTTTTAACAAATTGAAGTTAACAGTAACTATGGACAGCAAGTCAAGATTTAAAAGACCTAGATAAATCTCAAACACAAAACAAAAGCCCTAATATGAATGCGAAGGACATGCAGGAAAATTTAACTATTTTGGTAATAGTCATCAGCAATCCAATGTGCAGCACAGGAAACCTTACCTGAAATATCATCAGAGCAGTGTGTGACAACACTTACGTAACTCAGTAGACACAGCAGTCTAAAAACAATCTGTATTCATGGATTTAACAACCTACATAGGTAGCATGAAGAGTTGATACAGTACCTCGGCTATCAGTTGTATTAACAGGATCCTCTTCATCCAAATGTTCAAATGCAGTTACAAAATCATCCTCAATGGATGAGACCGAATGGTTTGTGTCATCATCTTCATGATGATCTGCCTTTTTATTCATTCTCAAGTAGTCCTGGTCTATTGCATACATTACTCCAGCTGAATACTTGCTCAGCAGGACATACAGAAAGTCACTTTTAAAGAGTGAAAATGGTGCTGAGGTCATCATACATAAAGAGCCGGAAAAAAAATTCTGCAGAAATAAAGCAAAATAAATGAAAATACTGTACAAACTATATACACACATAGTACATACAAAGTACTATATACAAGGTTCTACATTCAATGTAAAGGACTCCTCAAAATCCATGCATTGAGTACTACCAAGCAAAGCTTGTTTACACCATGTCTGTGGAGCTGTGTTTTTCTGCACACCATGGTGTGATCAGGGCACATACAAAATCAACTAATGTGTTAAGTAGACATGGCATGAATTAAAAAAAAAAAAAAAAACAGGAAAAGTATTCACATTGTGTGCTAAAACTAAAGTCATTTATTTTTCTAAATAATTTGCTGAAATGCAGGCCTATTGGATCCTGGTGTTCATATGCAAGTACGTAGCACTGTGTTTTATTGTGTGGGGTAATTCTGAAAACTGCTGAAGGAGAAAATTATATCTGTTCTCTTAGCCAATCCTGAACCAGCTTTAGGCCCAATTCACACCTGTGTTTTTAATGAGCGGTGGATTATAGACCATAAGTCTTTTTAATCTGCACTGAGTAGATCATGGCAGTTTGAGGCACAGAATCAGCACAGGGACAAATGATACATAGCAGCACTATGCAATTTTGTCATACCCTCTCTACACTGAGTATACCTGTCATTGTCAAATAGAACACTGACCAATGTGCTACCTCTTCCTCATTCACAACATTACACAACCAGTGTTACCTGTGCTGCATTAGATTTTGCAGTCTCTTTTCCATCGTTCATCAAAATAACTTCATTCTCATTTAAATTGCACAGATGGGGAGACTGTATCAATTCCGGGACATCCACATAAAGTGCTGTTACACCCTATGAAAAAATATATAAATACTAATAGTTTACAAGAGATAAAAGTAGAATAGACATTTCTCAAATGTATTACAAAAAAAAAACAACAAAAAAAACAGGAAATAAAAGAAAATAGACCTTTGGAGAAACAAAAATATTTTTTTTTCACTCAGGCCCATTCAATTGTTGTACAGATGCAGACTAAGACATCATAGAACAGACATCCCTTTTAATTTCCTGACTTCTGATTCCTTATTCGCCCCCACCATCACTACCACTCTTTTTCAACCCTATATCCATGGATTATTTCCATTTATTCCCAAAATCAGGGAAGGGAAGGGATGCAGACACACATCAGCTGATTCTTGTCATCTCAGATGACATACAGTATATATGGTCAGACTATTTGGAAATTTCTAGACCATACCAAAAACTAAATTGTGTTCTATACCTAAAGTGTAACATGTAAAGTGGCCAAAACACACAACATAAGACAAAATTTAAACATGTGTCATTGACCAGCCAACCAATTGAGGGCTATCAAGCCCCATCCATCCTCCACCACCACCCAAGACCCATCTACAGGTCCAATGTCAAAGACCAAGCTCAGATGTCGTAAGTGAAACACAAAATATTCCCCTGCTATTAGCAATATCTTTAAGCTGCAACACTGTGAGAGGAGAACATCTCAGAATCCCAAGACTTAAAAGCAATTCTGTAGAAAAAACATGAGGAAGTGGAGTTACAAAATTCCCTAGGTATGCCTTATATACTGTACATAAATTAAGTGCTAAGGAAGGTACTTTCCCAATACTGAAACAGTTTTGGTTGCATTAGTGTTGTTACAAGCATTAGCGCTGCACTAATACTTTTAACATTTAAATTTGGGACTGTTGCCGATACCGAGTGCTAGCTAAGATTTGTATTTACCGTATTTTCCAGCGTATAAGACGACTTTTTACCCCTTGAAAATCTTCTCAAAAGTCGGGGGCCGTCTTATACGCCGGCATACGGCATGCTGACACTTTTGAGGGGGGCGGCACGGTGCAGCCGCCGCCCCCCCCCCTTCCAACGGAAGGGGACACTAAGTACAGGGGTGGGCAGGGGCTGCTGTTTCTTACCTGGCTCCGGTCCCACGACGATCCGGCCCAGGAAGCGCGGCTGCTCCTTCATTCAGTTCGGCCACTGGATGCTCGCGCGGCTGCTCGGCTCCGCCTCCTCACCGGTGATTGGCCGCCAGAACTGTAGCTCAGGAAAGGCACACAGGCGGCCAATCACCGGCAAGAAGGCGGAGCCGAGCCACCCCCAGCGAAAATCGACTGAAGGAGCGGCCGGTAAGTGTGCCGTACAGAGGTGCTGCTGCAACCATATATGCTGGCTGCAGCAGCACCATACTGGAACAGGGGTCAGCAAGTGTCATTGGTGTCAGTGGGAGGAATAGTGCCCCATCATTGGTGTCACTGATACCAATGATGGGGCAATATTCCTCCCACTGACACCAACGATGGGACACTTTTCCTCCCCCCCACTGACACCAATGATGGGGCACTATTCCACCCCCCACTGACACCAATGATGGGATACTATTACTCCCACTGACACCAATGATGGGGCACTATTCCTCCCACTGACACCAATGATGGGGCACTATTCCTCCCACTGACACCAATGAAGGGGCACTATTCCTCCCACTGACACCAATGAAGGGGCACTATTCCTCCCACTGACACCAATGATGGGGCACTATTCCTCCCACTGACACCAATGATGGGGCACTATTCCTCCCACTGACACCAATGATGGGGCACTATTCCTCCCACTGACACCAATGATGGGGCACTATTCCTCCCACTGATACCAATGATGGGGCACGATTCCCCCCACTGATACTAATGATGGGGCACTATTCCTGCCACTGTTACCAATGATGGGGCACGATTCCTCCCACTGACACCAATGATGGGGCACTATGCCTCCCACTGATACCAATGATGGGGCACTATGCCTCCCACTGATACCAATGATGGGGCACTATGCCTCCCCCTGATACCAATGATGGGGCACTATGCCTCCCACTGATACCAATGATGGGGCACGATTCCCCCCACTGATACCAATGATGGGGCACTATTCCTGCCACTGATACCAATGATGGGGCACAATTCCTCCCACTGACACCAATGACGGGGCGCCATTCCTCCCACTGACACCAATGATGGGGTGCTATTCCTCCCACTAATACCAATGATGGGGCACTATTCCTCCTATGATGACAATGATGGGGCACTATTCCTCCTATTGATACCAATGATGGGGCACTATTCCTCCTATTGATACCAATGATGGGGCACTATTCCTCCTATTGATACCAATGATGGGGCACTATTCCTCCTATTGATACCAATGATGGGGCACTATTCCTCCTATTGATACCAATGATGGGGCACTTTTCCTCCTACTGACACCAATGATGGGGCACTAATCCTCCCACTGATACCAATGATGGGGCACTATTCCTCCCACTAATACCAATGATGGGACACTATTCCTCCCACTGACACCAATGATGGGGCACTATTCCTCCCACTAATACCAATGATGGGACACTATTCCTCCCACTGACACCAATGATGGGGCACGATTCTTCCCACTGGTGTGCATTGGAAGAGGGGTAGTCTTATACGACGAGTATAGCCCAAACACTACATTTTAACAGGAAAAGTAGGGGGTCGTCTTATACGCCGGAAAATACGGTACATTATTTTAGTATTTTAAGTAATTTACCAGCTCTCGCTTTTTACTCATTTTAAACGTCTAGAAATTTGTTGTTGTTCATGGTGGAGTAGTTTGGGATAATACATAAGGTTTTAAAAAAGCAAACACAACACAATTAAACCCAACATCAAGTAATACCTGAATGTTTCTTATTCCATGCTCTCTAGAAAGCCCAAGAAATGTTATCTGTAAAAGAATAATTATGAATTACTTTAAACAGGACAGTTTCATAGGCCAAATGTTGTGGCCACTATTAAGAAAAACACGAGAGTTTCTGGTGTTCACAAATACCTAAGATGGCTATAAAGTCGCCACAACATAATGTGATCGTTAAAAGCTGAAAGTCTGAATTTGCTGCACTGCTAGAAAAAATAACCAGCCCAGAAATGTTATGAATAACATCAGACCACATAGTGAAAGAAAAATAAGTTCTATACTGAAAATCATAATTTATAGTATATTAGCCATACTATTTTTCTCAAAGCAGTCAACACACCCAAGAAATTACAGGTGGTGATGGACAGACTTTTTTATATTGTAGCAAATATGTGCAGTGCCTTTAAAATTATCTGTTGTTAAAGAGACACTCCTCAAGAAACACTTTCAGGCTGTATGTGTAAATAAAAGGTTTACAATAAGTACTTACTGATGTTGCCTTTCCATTCATTTCATTAACATTTTGCATTCAGCATCACTCTCTGTCACAGTGACAATGCCCACCAGAAAAAAGTAGAGAGGATAAGACCTTGTTCACACAGGTGTACTTAAGAGTTTGTCTGGGTGATGGCTGTGTCTGCCTGTACGGGGATCAACAGGTGTTTGTACATCTCCGTGCAGAGAGGCCCGTTCATGTCAATTGGGATGCAGTAGTAGCATGGATATAACCACTGCTCCCAATCTGACTGCATTAGGGGTGGTGCACCCAAATAGCTGTGTCCATGCAGCTGCTGCAGCCCGAATGACATAAATGGGACTACATGGGGATGCATGGAACATCTGTACATCCCCATACAGGCAAACATGAATCTCAAATGGGTGTATGCTTCTTTATGGCAAGGCTCGACAAATCCCAGACACCAGGTCACCACGGCGACTAGAAATAGCATCCTGGCGCCTGGGCTTTTGTCATCTGTTCGCATCCACCTCCCACTTGCCGACTGTGCTATAGCCGAAAGATGGCTACAATGCATTTGTCCAGTTCCTGGAGGGCATCTATTGATGTCCCCCAAAATCCCCACCCTACCCCCATGCACCCCATGTGATACAGCTGATCACAAATCAAGGTAAAGGGCCAATCATAGCGGCCCTTTGCCATGTGATCAGCTGTGTCCAATCACAGCTGATCACATGTAAACAAATGCTGGGTATAAGCATTTCCTTTCCTCTGCGCTGTCAGCCAACAACTGGCTATCCTGTGACAGGGGACATTTACACTGATAATTAGGACACTGATCATCAGTGCCTTGATTAACAGTGCAGCAAATCAGTGACCATCAGTGCCACCTTATCAGTGCCCATCAGTGTAGCCTCATTAATGCACATCAGTAAAGAAGGAAAATTACTTATTTGAAAAATATTATAACAGAAATGAAGAAAAGGGTTTTTTTATTTAAAAATGATCAAACTTTTTTGTTTAGAAAAAAATAAAAAAATCTAGTAGTTATTAAATAGCGCCAAAAGAAATCTCTATCGGTGTGAAAAAAATTCATATGGGTACAGTGTTCCATGACTGCACAATTGTCATTTAAAGTGTGACAGCGCTGAAAGCTAAGAATTGGGAAGGGCAGGAAGGGAGTAAAAGTGCCCATTAAGCAAGTGGTAAAACAAAACTAACACATAACTTTTTTCCTTGGCTTCTAGGTTCAAAGCAAATTTGTCAAACCTGGATTTACGCCCATGTGAGCAAGGCCCAAGTCTCCCCAGCAGAGACATAGGCAGCAATGAAAACACGACAAGAGTTCTATTATTTACATACTCTATCCAAAATATAAAAATAAAGGATTCGGGCTGCACATACTTTGTCATAAATATCTGGAAATAGTTCGGTATGAGTTGCTGTGTGGCAGATAGTACTGTGTAGCACATTTACCATTTTTCACATTCAGTGAGGCGTGACGCAAGTTTAGAGCTCCATCTAGAGACACAATTAAAGCACTGTATGGTTTTTGTTTTTTTTTTTTAGACATTTAAATTTTAAAACTCACTATAAGTATTATAAACATGTATTCTAGGCCAAAACTTTATTTAATCTAGTCTTGGATAGAATTAATTATTAGAACTAATGTTGAATTCTTCCTGCTATCCAGGGGCCTTTTGTTTCTCATTTACGGTGTCAGTGAAACAAAAAAGGAAAAAACAAAACCTGGGCATGGACAGAAGTAGCAATCTGACAGGGTGCTCTGGCCTTTCCCTTCTTGACTAAACAAAAGTATTTTTTATTTCAGTTTGGGTTGTTGGAAATTTCCCCTCACTTCCCATCTGATGTTGTCAGCAGGAAAGGAGGGAAAAACTCCAGAACTAAAAATGTGACCATAGGGGTTCTAGCCTTCCCCTACTCTACAAAAGATCTTTTTTTTTTTTTTTTTTTTTTTTTTTTAATTCCTGTCATTGTTACTGTTGGAGAGTTCCCATCACTTCCTGTCTGGTTATATGTCAGCAGGACAGGACTTGAGGGGAAATCTGTCTTTTAGTGTCCTGAGTAGCAGTAAAAACAAAAAAAAAAAAAAAAAACAAAACAAAAAACAATTTAGCTGGACATACTCTTTAACAGATAATGGCAGCAGACAGGACAGAATTCTCACCAGGGACATGTCGGACTCACAATTAGCTTTGTGGGGGTGACATCACTTGTGGAAGGAGGTACACTCACGCATGAAATAGTGACTGTACTGTCTATAGCAATCCATGTTAATGCACAGCCCTGAATTCTCTATGGGTTCAGATGAGGCTCAATTTTTTTTTAACAGGTTCCCGCCCTGACTATGGCCAAATGGCGACCGGCAAAAACCCTCACCGTTCTGGGTGGACGCCATATGGCGTCCTTTCGGGCATGCACAGTTTGCGTGCCTGCAGAGCCGCACAGCGGCGCGATCTGTCACCGGCCGCATACCTCGGACACGACGGATGACAGATCTGAGTACCGGCCCCGTTGCCGGTAACATGTGACCTGCTATGACCAATCACAGCAGGTCACATGACAGTTGTATACAAAGGATGGCTCATTCATGCCATCCATTGTATACTAGTGTGTCTAGCTGTGAATGGTCACAGCAATCACATGCACAAGCTGGGCCAATCACAGCTCAGCTGTGTCATGTGATTAGCCGTGGCCAGATCTCAGCTAAGCACAAAAAAAAACAAAAAACCCTGAATGAATTGATGTCATTCAGGTAAATGCTTGCTTATAGCAAAGTAATTCTTTGCTATAAGCAAATTGTGTATATAAAAAAAAAATACTGATCACTTCCCCAAAGTAGTACAATGTTACTATGGTAACATTGTACTACTTTGGTCATAGCGAAATATGAAAATAAAAATCCTAAAAAAAGAAAAAAATGTTAATTAAAAATAACAAAAAAAATTATATACCGTATTTTTCGAAACCAATGGACTGCAGACACAGTACAGGAGATGACCAGAGACTGCGGACGTAGTACAGGAGATGACCAAAGACTGCGGACGTAGTACAGGAGATGACCAGAGACTGCGGACGTAGTACAGGAGATGACCAGAGACTGCGGACGTAGTACAGGAGATGACCAGAGACTGCGGACGTAGTACAGGAGATGACCAGAGACTGCGGACGTAGTACAGGAGATGACCAGAGACTGCGGACGTAGTACAGGAGATGACCAGAGACTGCGGACGTAGTACAGGAGATGACCAGAGACTGCGGACGTAGTACAGGAGATGACCAGAGACTGCGGACGTAGTACAGGAGATGACCAGAGACTGCGGACGTAGTACAGGAGATGACCAGAGACTGCGGACGTAGTACAGGAGATGACCAGAGACTGCGGACGTAGTACAGGAGATGACCAGAGACTGCGGACGTAGTACAGGAGATGACCAGAGACTGCGGACGTAGTACAGGAGATGACCAGAGACTGCGGACGTAGTACAGGAGATGACCAGAGACTGCGGACGTAGTACAGGAGATGACCAGAGACTGCGGACGTAGTACAGGAGATGACCAGAGACTGCGGACGTAGTACAGGAGATGACCAGAGACTGCGGACGTAGTACAGGAGATGGCCAGAGACTGCGGACGTAGTACAGGAGATGGCCAGAGACTGCGGACGTAGTACAGGAGATGGCCAGAGACTGCGGACGTAGTACAGGAGATGGCCAGAGATGGCGGACACAGAGATGGCCAGAGACTGCGGACACAGTACAGGAGATGGCCAGAGACTGCGGACACAGTACAGGAGATGGCCAGAGACTGCGGACGTAGTACAGGAGATGACCAGAGACTGCGGACGTAGTACAGGAGATGACCAGAGACTGCGGACACAGTACAGGAGATGACCAGAGACTGCGGGACTAGTACAGGAGATGACCAGAGACTGCGGGACGTAGTACAGGAGATGGACCAGAGACTGCGGACGTAGTACAGGAGATGACCAGAGACTGCGGACGTAGTACAGGAGATGACCAGAGACTGCGGACACAGTACAGGAGATGACCAGAGACTGCGGACGTAGTACAGGAGATGGCCAGAGACTGCGGACACAGTACAGGAGATGGCCAGAGACTGCGGACACAGTACAGGAGATGGCCAGAGACTGCGGACACAGTACAGGAGATGGCCAGAGACTGCGGACACAGTACAGGAGATGGCCAGAGACTGCGGACACAGTACAGGAGATGGCCAGAGACTGCGGACACAGTACAGGAGATGGCCAGAGACTGCGGACACAGTACAGGAGATGGCCAGAGACTGCGGACACAGTACAGGAGATGGCCAGAGACTGCGGACACAGTACAGGAGATGGCCAGAGACTGCGGACACAGTACAGGAGATGGCCAGAGACTGCGGACACAGTACAGGAGATGGCCAGAGACTGCGGACACAGTACAGGAGATGGCCAGAGACTGCGGACACAGTACAGGAGATGACCAGAGACTGCGGACACAGTACAGGAGATGGTCAGACTGCGGACACAGTACAAGAGATGACCAGAGAC